TCGTCGAGTCTATAATTGGCGCCCAACAGGCAGCTGGCATGTCGGTGTGACCGATCCGCGATGCATCCAGCCAGGGGGGGGGTAGATTGCTCTATTCTATTGCTCTTTCTGAGGTTGGTTCGGGGGATAGGGGCGAGGTCGGGAGGGGAGGAAGGCATGGAGCCTGCATTTGACGCGGGCACGGCCCCAAAACTGCAAGAAGGAGCCAGAAAGCCAGGCGAGGAAGTAGGATTATCATGCGTTAGTACATTTATCCTTGCGTCGTTGATAGTAGAGGGAAAGGATGCTGTAGGCAAGTAAGACAGGAGACGATGCACCTGGGACTGTCCGACCTCGCATGCCCACACAAAGGGGAATAGTGGAGTCAGCACAATGGGCTGGGTGCTATTTATCGCTGCACTGTCGGCCTTTGTGATTCTTATGCCAAAATGGCCGTATGGTGTGCTCTGTTGGTGCTCAGGGTGCCCATTGTCCGGCTTAACATGTTGAAGCTTCCGGTGGAGTGTGGCGTTGGGTGGTAAGAGGAGGGTCATCTCGGGCTAGACCAAAATGCCTGTGTCTGGTGATCGCACCCTCAACGAGTCAGACGTGGAAAGAATATAAGTCCCTAAAAGTACGCGTTAGTATCAGACTGATAGTGGCTGCTTTCTCGGGCATGTGGGCAGAAAATACAAATTACTATTATAGCCGTGTGAAGGGAGGGGGGAGGTTATACTTGGTCGATAACGGTCCATTCGTTTTAAGCAAAAAAAAAATTTTCAAAGACCCCATTCATTTTTCTCATCCTAGATCATTCTCATTTTAAGCCTGTTCAATTTTACCATTGTGCTGGTTTCGACGTCAGATTTAGACTGAACTTGTAAAAGGGCTGCGTTTTAAACACCCTTAGATGGATTTTATTCTGGAAAAATGAAGACATCTATCTGGAATTTCCTGTATGGCACGATTATCTTGAATTTAACTCTCTTTTGCGCTTTCTTACTATGAAAATTCGTCTCGAAGTCTGTTTTGTAAAAATTCTCACTCAGGACATGGTGCAAGTAAGTAATCTCCTAATACATTTCGCTGTGCTATTGGCCTTTGTGAGTAAGCAGGCCACTTTTGTGCTTGCCTATCCTTAAAAGGCTCCGACTAAATCCTGTTCAACGGGTGCCCAAATCTGCCTTCTCCTTCGTGCCTTGGAATTTCGCTTTTAGCTTATGGTCCGGAAACACTGGCCAGGCTCCGTGTGCTTGACGGTCGCGCCTTCATTACCCTTTGAAGATAAGATTTTTGCTGTTTCACAAAATGGTGCCATGTTGAGGATTCTTGTGCTGAAAGAAGCCTTCCTATAGGCTTGCCCCATGGGCCTGACTCGTCCTACTGTGCACATACTCTTGTTCCCTTCAGGTTTTTAGCTGGCGCTCCTGTGCCACTTACGCTTCTACTACCATTCATTTGACTCATTGATAGCGTTTTAAAAGGGTATAGAACTACAGGATGTTGTGTCCACTAATAACGAAAATGTGAAAATTTGCAGTACTACAGAAGACCTTATAAACTCATTAATGACAAACTTCCAAACTTCAAGCTCCTTCCCAGACAAGGAATCGAATCTTTAGCAATTTATTCTACAAGCGTAAGAACATGTTTGCTGTGCATTTGTCTTCCTCGTCAATTTTGAAGCTCTTTCTTAGCATATATTCTTCTCTTTATAAAGTACCTTTGAAATCGACCATTTCTTTACTTTCCTTCCCCGTAAATTTGCAGACCACAAATGAGACCCTTTCAAAGACGTTCCCTTGTAATCATCCATGCAATACCTATCTATAGTTTATTGTCAATTGAAAGAGAAAGTAAATTAACCAGATGGGCACAACCATGTACAAAGCAATATAGGGGCGCGATGAGGAGGTTAACAATCGCGACAACACACACCCTCTCCATCCTGCTTGTATGGTTGTGACGGCAGTACTATGTATTGATAACAACGATACCAGTTGCTCAGGAGGCACAGAGTATTTTTGTCTTTGATTTTTCTTACAAAAGTTGCTTACCTCGGATAAACGTGACTGCATCCACCCCGCAAAAACCTCGCAAAAAATTGGATGGATGGATCGTATACCTGCGTGCATTTACCACTCACGACAGCCAAGAATAAAATTTGTTTTCACGAACAGAGGCAAGTATAGAATAAGTCACTTCACTCCCGGCTAGTAGGATGCTTTGACGGGTTTGCGGATGCCATATAATGGCATTTGTATCGTCGTCCTTGCCTCGTTTGCTTCCCCCCAAAAAATAGAGAGTGACGTTGTTCTTGCAGCGAGAGCGGCAATAAGGTCGACTTTCCTTTCCCATGCGAGAAATGCAGCGGCGTCCTGTAAATCAGGCAAATTATTCAGGCACAAGATTGAATGAAATATATGTGCGTACGATAGTATGACACAATTATCATAATTGTGGCTTTTCAGACAGACTCGCACTTCGCCCTAGTCCATATCATGATACCCTAGCCACTATCAACTGCTTTCTAATACTGCAGTATGAGTGCGCACCAAATTCCATCCTCTCATAACCGGTAAGAAAAATGTTTTTTCCTTCATTTTTATCACCGTCAGGGCTTAAATATGGGACCTCATCCTGGGTGGGATAGTGCCAGCACCTCTCCCCCGCTCTCAGTCGGCATCGGCTGGTCTATATGCCTGGGCTTTGGTGCCGTTTTCAGTCTATTTACGACCCTCCTGGTGTGGCTTGAAGGACGCTACAGTGGGACGAAACAATCCAGCGAACATTTCAACACGGCGGGAAGGACGGTCAAAACGGGCCTGATTGCTGCTGTGGTTTGTTCTCAATGGACATGGGCGGCGACCCTCCTCCAGAGCAGTAATGTGGCGTGGTTATACGGCGTCTCGGGACCTTTCTGGTACGGAGCTGGGGCTGCGGTCCAAATCCTCCTGTTCGGCATCCTTTCGATTGAAATCAAGCGGAAAGCCCCCCATGCGCACACGGTCTGTGAGATCATCCGGGCACGGTGGGGCCCGACGGCTCATAAAGTGTTTCTAAGCTTTTGTCTCCTGACGAACATGCTGGTCACCTCCATGCTCCTCTTGGGAGGCGCCGCGACGATCGAAGCCATGACCGGGCTCAACGTCTACGTGGCTGCGTTTTTGATTCCGTTGGGCATCATTGTCTATACCTTCGCGGACGGTCTCGCCGCGACGTTTCTCTCCAATTACCTCCACACCATTATCCTCCACGCAGTCCTTCTCGTCTTCATCGTCGCCGTCTACCTGTGCCCGCTTCCAGGGGGACGGAGCCAGCTCGGCTCTGTCTCCCAAGTCTACGACCGCCTGCTTCGTCTCAACACGTACACGGTGGAGGAATGTGCGGCGAGAAATTTCCTGGACGACACGGGCTCCGTCGCAGGCTGTGGGCCCGTGCCCGGCAACAAAGCCGGGAGCTCCTTGACCATGTTCAGCCAGGGGGGGATCATGTTCGCGGTCATCAATTTGGTGGGGAACTTCGGTACCGTCTTTGTCGACCAAGCCTATTGGCAAGCAGCCATTGCCGCCCGCCCCAGCGCGGCCGTGCGGGGGTACCTCTTGGGGGGATTGGCCTGGTTTGCCATCCCTTTTGCACTGGCCACCTCCTTAGGTCTAGCTTCGTTGGCCCTTGAACTCCCCTTAACGGCCGCCCAGGCGAACGCCGGCTTGGTCCCTGTGGCCTCGGCGGTCGAACTCTTGGGCACGGGGGGGGGGGTGTTGATGCTGTTAATGGTCTTTATGGCCGTCACCTCGTGCGGTTCAGCCGAGCTGATCGCGGTCTCCTCCCTCTTGACTTACGACGTGTACAAAACCTACCTCCGACCGGGCGCGAGTGGGGCGGAGCTCCTGAAAGTCTCCCGGTGGTGTGTGGTCGTCTTTGGCTTGACCATGGGCGGTTTAGCTGCCCTGTTGGAGATCGCCGGGCTCGCCCTCGGCTACCTTTACCTCCTGATGGGCGTCCTGGTCGGTTCTGCTGTCTTTCCCATCGCCACCTCGTTGCTTTGGAGGAAGACCTCGGCGCATGGCGCCATGGCGGGGGCCGTCGGGGGAATGCTCATCGCCCTTGCTGCCTGGTTGGGCACTGCCGCGGCGTTTGCAGAGAAGGGAGGGCCGTTGTTGACCCTGGAGACGACGGGAGCTTCGGTCCCCATGTTGGTTGGCAATGTGACGGCGCTCCTGGTCTCTATGGGGGTCACCAGTGGGCACAGCCTGCTTTGGCCGGAGGATTGCGACTGGTCAACTACCCGGACTTTGCAGGAGATCGGGAGTGTGGCCGACACGCAGGCGGGGGAGGTGGCCCCGAGGGAGGGAGAGGAGGTGGCACCCCGGTTGCAAGCGGAAACGGAGGGGGAAATGGCAGTAGAAATGGACCCAAAACGATTGCGGGCCGCCAAGACCTTCGTGTTGAAGTGGGGTTGCTTCTTCTCCCTGCTTATGCTGGTCCTGTGGCCCTTGCTCTCCCTCCCTGCGGGGGCGCCCTTTTCGTTCTCTTACTTCAGTCTTTGGGTCTGGGTGGGGATTATCTGGGGGTTTCTATCCTCCATAATCATCACGGCGATGCCCCTGCGCGAAAGTAAGGCGGCCATCGAGCAGGTGCTGGTGGGAATATGGGCCGATTTGAGAAGGGTCGGGAAGGGAAAGGGGGGGGGG